TATGTGATAAATTTGAGAACCTTCATCTGAGACTGAAATGAAATTTTACATATAAAATCTTTCTAGGAAGAATATTAACATTGTAGTATTGAACTCAAATACTATGTTCTCTAGTCTCATTGTAGTCATCAAAATTATTTATTTCAATAATTCGGGAACTATCAGTATCATTTTGCAATTTTTTTACTTAACATCAATTTCGGTAATTCATCTATTAATTCTATTTTTCAACTACTGACGAACAGAAAAAAAATGTGCTTACTTCTGTCATAAAAAGTAAACTCTAAAATAAACTGATATGCATGGAGTTAATTTATTGACGCACGTGAACTGGAACGCAACGGGTTTTCATTGCTTGAATAGAATGGCATTTAATATGACGCAATTTAAATACGCATGATCTTAATCTAAGGGTAAATTAATTATAATTCAAATAGGTAATTACATCTACTCTTAATAAATGAAATTGTATGGTTAAAATACTATAATTTAATAATTTTATAATGGAAAAATATCCAGTTCAAATATGAAACAAGACTGGAATGACTTTGCAAACAGTTGTAAATAATAATCATATCATCAGGTGTATAAAGCATTATCCATCAATTAGTAAACAAATAAAAATAATTTTTAATAACTTACAGCTCTCAAGTGATTGATGTTGGGGCTGATGTAGGTGAGCATAATAATAATGATGGTGCAAAATGCACTCAAGATTAGTGCAGTTCAACATTTTCCAGGACTTCTAAGCGACTCTGTGCTCTGTCTCAAGGACACAAAATGTCTTTCACTTTTATTTAGATTAAGATTAAGATAAAAATTATTTGCACTTGTAAATTTTTTTCAAACAAAAAATATTTGCCAATTAATGAACAAAGTATCAATATAATTTACAGAATAAATAAAAATTGTTTTTGTTCTTTTTAAATGAATCCAGTAGCAAGTGATTTATATTAATTTTTATCAACAGTCAATTAACCCATTTTTTCTTTTCTTTGACTGGTAAATTTCACGACAAAAGTTGATATTGCTGCCAGATATTCCAAAGGATGGGAATTTGAGTTTCTTCGACATTCAAATCACGTCAACTTCCTGTCTTCGTGATCGCCACAATTCATTTCCTTATAAACATATTGTGGTATTTAAAAGTCATCAAGAATATGGATGATTGTGACTTGGTTCAATTATCTCATCAGTAGTCACACCAAAAGGGTCGTTGCACGTGTTAGAGAAATCTTAATAGTGAAATTCGTATTTATCTGCATATACTTCTTCTCGTCGCACTTTTATAGATTATGCTTCTCGGGTGCTAATCAACGATACTCACACTTTCTAAAGCGTCTGGCTTGCTAAGTTCAATTGTCGATGGTAATCAGATGACAAGCCATACCTCCGTTTGTTCCAGACAAGTTCCTGGTTATGGAACAGTAATATTAAGAATTGTTTGCAAACTTTTCCGACGTCTCAAGGCTTCTTCCAAGGTCAAGTCCTTCAATAAAAAATCCAAAGGCAAAGTTCGTCGACTGTACACGAGGACATACGTGATGCAAGGCCAATTTTTATTCTTTACTTTTCTCTCATATACCAATAAGCATCCCCTTGAAGGACAAATATATCACGTGTTTTTTCTTGAATATTCCCAGTATTTCAAAGCTTTTCAAGGTTATGAGGAAGAGATTCTCCACTTTCTTGCCATAAGGTTACTGTTTATGCATGATCTTATAATCTTTCTTGCACTTGTTATTTTACAAGGATACATAGATCTTTCCACACACTTCTGATCGATAAATTAATTAAATTTATATAAAATATCTAATATGTACTTTACACAATATTAAAAATATAAATAAACGAAATTAATTAATTATTTAACACACATTAATTCATTCTTATTTTTATTGTTTATAATAATGAATATTTTGTCTTTTATATTTCATAAAATGTAGAATATCTAATAATTTTGTGTTTTTAACTTACTGTCATTAAACAGCTTCCGACCTTCTTATTATGATTTTACACTCATACGTCATAAATTGGCTTCAATTGTCATAAAAAAAAACAATGAATTTCGCTGATGACAGCATGATAATGTTTGTCACTCACACTGACTTTTATCACAACACAAAGCTCATAAATTGTCACTGTACTCAGTGCTAAAAAAGAAAAATACCGCAAGATTAAATACCTTTATTAATATATCTTTATCATAGTATGCTTAGCGATTGTGGAGAATGGTATGTGACCGCGACCGGGCTTGTTGAGCGAATGTGCTTGGGCCTCTCTTAGAACATGCTTGTGTGGGTCACTCAGTCATTGGCAGGCACTTACTTTCCACTCTCCATGTTTACTAATCTCCCGCTTTTCAAACTTGATGATCCTTCTATTAATTGTCGAGTGTCCTCGTCTTAATTTTATAATTACTTCTATCGTTTTAACACTCCACCGTATTTACTATAAACAACCATAAATAATAAACTGTCATTGCGGAAGAGGGCGTTGAAATAATTGATCTTCATTAGTCCATTCTTTGTATTGAAAAGAAGTCGAGGAAAATCAAAAAAAATGTGCTACAATATTTTCAGTTGTATTATTTTTAAAACAACCATAGTTTTAGATAATCAGAAAGAAATTAATTGTATAAATTTTATAAAATATAAATAATAAAAATATTTGAATAATTTTTCTTCATCTGTAATATTAATCTTTGAATAAATATAAATAAACTCAGAATATGTGAATGTTGGTTAATCAATTTAGAAAATAATATTAAAAGTGAGTGTTGAAATATCAAGTAAATAACAGTTTAAAAGTCTTTAATAGCTGAATTAAAATTATTAATACATATAACAGTAGTTTAATTAATAATTCTCTGAACATAGTTTCTATAAAAATGTTTATCTATGTATACATTCAAAGCTTTCGCCTTTTCATTAGGCGAAACGTTTGTAAATCTTTAAGAGCCCACGTGGTTTAAGAAAGTTCGTTAATTTTAATGATTACTCGATGTAAACGAAGCAAATGTCTATCGTGTTTTTATTCAATGAAAGTGAGAAATACAGCAAATTCATTTTTCTAACATAAACAAATCAATGAATACTTCCGTATGCGTTGTCATTAACGCAAGTCATTTTCCTCTCGACAATGAATTGAATGTAGGACATATATTTCTACTTACACAAATGGTATGAGAAAAGAAGAATACATCTGAGGATACAATTGAAACTCAGATCTTTTATGAATTTTGGAATTTCTATTATGGTAAATCATTTCTAGAATGTACTTTTCTTAAGCTGTTTACTTTTTTCTGTTTCTTTAAGATGGTTCTGAGTAAGTCGGTAATTTCCTCTTGGGTGTCGTGTTTTTCTTGAAATCATTCATAAACGTCTCTAGCACTTGACTCGTTCAGACTTGATGCCGCCGGTTTGCCTACTCTCTTACTCCAATTCTTCATTCGCCCTAGATTCAACAATTACTTTTTTATTCTGATAGTAACACTAAATGACACTTTCTCTATTAAATTTTCCAGTTACAGCTTTTTCTATTTACCATAAATATGAAATATTTTCTAAAATGTTATCGTGATTTAGCTACTATTTTGTGATTATTTTCTTTAATTATTTTCACATTTTTTCATTACGTAGCATAGAGTATCAATCACATCATGAAATGAAAATGGAACAAAATAATAATTATAAATAAAATGTACTGTTAAAAAATGTTTATTTTTATTACTATTAGAACAAAAAAATATGTTATTAATGAAAAACAAAAATGTCAGCCGTAACTCCAATGTCAACCAAATAAGTTATCAACAAAAATACTATTATTTTTTGAAAATAAAAAATTATTCTTATAAATTACATACGAATATTTATGTAAATTGTAAAAACCTTAATTCGTGACCTTTCAATACATAATTTCATATTTATTTTTTCAAGATAACTAAATTTTAAGTCTTCGTATAAACCAACACTGAACCGGTTTATTAAAAATTCTTATGTACATTTTATAAAATGTTAAATTTACTTGTATTAAAATATACTCTATTATAATAATAAATAAATAATATTTAAACGTAATTATTTTTATTTCGTCTTATAAAATACATAAATTTATGATGATTTTATATAAACGAATTTTAATTTGTTATTTATTTCACGACACAAATTAAAATTTGTCATGTTTGATACAGAATAACACATTAAGACATGGCAATTAAGGATATTACATAGAGGATATTTGTCTTTTGACTTCATTATTCCTCACGTGGAATCGTCAATTACATTCTAGAATCATTGTATGTGTCCTCGGGGACGATCTTTATGAGATAAAACTGGATGAGTCAATAAAGCATTTTCTGCCAGCATAGAAGCCTCAATTGAGAGACCTGGCGAGAGTGAAACCAGATTAGATGGTCTTTGAAGTACTTAATACGTCGAATTCTCTCAATCATTGCTTAAATAATATAAAAGCTTATGCACTTCATTTTTTTACAGAGAATAATTCTTTCGTTTCTATTTATAACAATTTCAAATATTAAATAGTCTCTTTAAATATGAAATTATTATGTCTTTTTATAACTTTAATGTTATCATCGACATTTAAATTTCATCATTAACTCTGAATATATCGATTTGAATTGATGGTGACATAGTAAATCATGTGTAAGTATAAAAAGTTCATTAATATTTATATAATACAGGCAGTAAAATATTTAAGAAAGAATACAAGTTACTTTAAATCAGTATTCTATACTCTTTTTTTTCTTTATATATATTATCATTATGAGCAAGTTAATAATGATATAAAGACGATATATTAAATAGTGTAAAAATAGAATTTACACATGTACAATTGATAATTGTGAATTATATAGGGCAATAACCTGTACAATTAAAATTAATGGTAAAGAATTTAGTTACTGGAAGGTCATTTATTAACACGAGAAGCAGTGATTCATTCATTTATCATTATGAAAAACATTAATAATAAAACGATACAACTATTTACATGAATCTGCCTTTATCATTTTTGAATTAGATGTACAATTTGTGAGAAAAATATATACATTTAAAAAAAATTCAACTCACTGAACTTACAGTTATATAAACTGTTTTATTTCAAGGTTAAACGTTGATTTAAATTCATATTTAAACATAGATAATTACTAGCATAAACTTTTTTTAAAGAAAAATTTCAGAACAAATTTTTTTCTTCTCGTATTAAACACTGAGTATGATCACAGGTTTATTGTTCTATTGCTTATACAGTAATAATGCAATTTGCCATAAAAAATTGTTTACAAAGATTACTTTGTCTTGTTCAAAAAAGAAAATTTCACCAAAAATCTCAATATTTCTAAAATATAATAATGAGGAAAAACGTATGATAAAAGATTAATAGAAGTTTACAAACGCTATATAAATACATCAAGCTTGTTAATAAATTATCCGATAGAGAATATGGATTAAAATACCTTCTATTTACATCACAGTTGATTCAGAATTATTAGTTGACCTCCTACGCAAATAATTACTAGCACTCACGAAGCGGTCCGATATTCGTGCTTTAGCCTTTGCTCTTTCAGCCTCACGTGTAATTATTATTTGCTCTGTCCAATATGCTTCACGTTTAATGCGATCACGTAATTTTCTAGGAACGTCTGAAAGACACCACTGAACAGTCATTGTAAATAAACTGACTACACTTTGGAAGACAACGATAAATATAAATCGAGCTGCTAAAATATGCCAGTATATAGAAGGTCTTTTATAAGGTAATTCTGAATGATCGGGAGGATTTCTATATTCAGAGTAACGGCACATTGTAACATTATAATACATGCTGTCTAATGGTGCAGTATTATTCGGAAAATCTCTCGTATCAAAATAGGCCAAACTGTGATTAAGAAAACCAGTATCAGTTTTATCTGGATTTACAGCGTACATGTAAACTAATCGAGGTATTAAATTGGACGAAAATGCAATAATAAATGCCTGAAACATAAATAAACAGTTCCAACATTAGCTAAATCATCTTGACTCATTTTGAAATGTACGTAAGTCATGTTTATGCATTGAAAGAAATTTTTTACTAGATCCGATTGTAAGTAAAAAAAAGGTGACAAGTATCTAATTTAATGTTTAAGAAGAATTGTTACTCGTTTTAAGTACGAAATATTTTCTTAAATTATAATTTTTACTTAATTAAATATTCTACTAATAACAAACATACAGTAGAATCTCTCCAAGGTCCGATTTCAACAGATGTTTATGTATTAATACGTTTTAATTTTTATTTAAAAGAGTTCAAGTATATTATTATCTCATGTTCTTTGCTGTATGTTAGCATAAATTTTATGATGCTCTCAAAGGTCCGAGAGCCCTAAATTGTCCAACTTTTGGGAGATACTGCTGTAATTTGGATTTATTAAAAATTTATGAAATATAGATTGAATACTTGTCCCTTGATTTAGTAAAAAATTTTTCTCATTATCAGTCTACAAATTATGAATAATATGTTTATTCTAAAATTACTAACATTATGGTAAACTTATGAAATACTACCTATCAGTTGTATATTAATTTCATAAGTCTTAATAGCATTGTTATGAACCTATTCATGTTTACTGAGCAGATAATTTCTATCTTTTTATATAGTGTAAATGTAATAAAACTATCATTAACTTTTAAAAATTCAATAGCTGAATTTGTAAATACTTACATTAGTGGTTACGGAAATTCGTGCTAGAGCATCAAGAATTGATTTCCAAATACCAATATCTCTAGCTCGTCGTGGTACAGGTCGACGATAATGGCGTAAAAATTTCGTTGCATCTAAACGCATTTCTAGGACATTATTAGCTAAAGCAAATAATGGAGCTAAAGGAAAAGCAACGACAAAGAGAGTAATAAATCCAAATTGAATAACCATCTCTAAATATTCATCATATAATCCTCTTGGTCCCCATTCTAGTAATTTTAAATCTCTTATCCATCTACTGCGAGGTGCAATCGGATCTTTCTGTTTAAGACCAGTATGGATACGGAAAAGTGCCCACCACTTGAATAATATAGGATATATCATCTCCATTGCCGTATAAAAACCTTGTTTTCCAATCATTATTATAGCCAATTGAATACAAAGTTCCATTAAGCACCCACCAGGAGCACACTCTTCTTGTCTGTTGATAAAAATGATTGCAATTTTATGAATAAGTGACAGACAATTGTAAGGTCAATTTATTTTATCAAAGAATAGATTTTTACCTATAATTAAGAATTCTATTATATTTTTGTGGATAACCAACAAATTTTCCTTTGAGAAACGCTACGTAAAATATGGAAGCATAGTAATTAACAAATTGAAAAATATAAATCTTCAAAGTTAAACTATCATCAAATTCTGCTTGAGTTCGACGCATTTCCATATTGGTTAAGCGAACAGCTAACCAATCGTATAAATAGTTTAATATTAAAATACCAACCTGAAAGAATAAATATATATAATTGAAATTTAAATCATTACTACAATAACAGATTTTGAAAAATTTAGTTTTGAACAGTAATTAACTCAAACGTATCTTACTTACAAGATTAATAGCTGCTGCAATACATGGAACCGTAAATGTTTTGTGTTGATTACTATCAAGTCCAAAAAAGCTACTTGACGTAATCAAAGCCATTCTGTATAAAACGACTGCAAAAACTGCAGCGATTGCTACCAAAATGAGTAGAAGAACAACAGTAAAACTTAACATTGTAGCAGGAACACGAACTTTCCAAAAACTCACGTGTGGTTCTTTTTCCATTGTTACTGCATTTATTTTTTCTTTTGGTTTGATAAATTTTAATTTACTCAACATTGCCAAATATTGAGGTCTTGGATGTTCAGCTCCTTGATCCCAGCCAACTAAACCCCATCGATAAATCAATTCTTCGGATTTTCTCCTCCATAACTCGAGATATAATGCTCCCCAAAATGACATAAACACCGCAAAGAAAACTGTTGCAGGATTGTCAAATAAAAGTGTCACTTTCGTAAAAATACAAGTTTCATTGAGGCGCCAATAGTCACAATATTTATCACATTGTGGGCACATTATTACATTCTCTGCCCAAGGAGAACAAGCATCCTGCACTAGTGAATTAGAATTCAAACTAAATACACCTATAAATAAAAATTATAATTACAAACATCATATATAAGATTATAGTAATCTACGTTATTTACAGTAAAGAATTACAAGTTCATTTACCATAAAAAAAGCATATAAGTCCAAATATGCTTGCTGGAATAAGCATGTATGTATAATATCCGAGCCATGCAAAATATATTGCATAGCTAACACCAAAGTATTCTTGAATAGTATCCAAAGGTTGTAACTTTAACCATTGCTTCAGTGCTCCCCATTCTTCGTATAAAAGATTTCTAACAGTATTCTTTTGTTTATATGTACCCTAAACAGATAACATATAGCAATAAATTAATGTAAAAAACTCACCAATTATTGTTAATGAATGATAATCAAAATTAAAAAATACTCATTCTATGAAAATTCTTGCAATAATAATTCTAAAACTATATTGTAACTAAAAATTAGGAAAAAAAAGATTTTTTAAATATCAATACCAGAACAAAAACTGCGTTTGAGATAAAACAAAGGAATAACTAGTAATCGTGTAAATCATAAAAACCACAAAAAAAATTAACTACAATTATTTTCTAAATAAAATAAAAGTAATGTCACTAACATCATGTAAAGGATAAGCAGCAGAATAAACACCATTGGCAAGGAGACGATGAATACCCACAGATTGTCTTTCCAATATAAAATCCACAACCATAATACGTACATTTGTAGGGAAAAAATTATCATTCTCTATATCAAACCTTTTTAGATACAAAACATTAATAATAATAATAAACAAAACAAAAAGATTTACTATTGATTAAGAAAAGGAATAAATATCAGTAAATTGAATTTTGCAATTGATAGTAACTTCAATGAAACATACAAGTAGTCTTTGTCTCTTGAGAACTCTGCTAGAAGTGTTTTTTCTTTCTTTGGGAATTTCTGTGAATCCAATTGTACAAAGCTGAATAAACCTATGAACCATGAGCGAGCATCATCAAATAAATCTGTTCCAGTGGCTTCCAATTCTTTAAGAGATATAGCTTTTATTGGTAACTTTAGTTTCATTATTTCACTATATCGACATAAAACTTCCTAAAGAATAAAAAATAATGTTAATAATGTTTTAATCAATAAGAAAAAATGAATAATGAAAATGACCTGAGGTGCATGGATCTTTATAAAACAAAGTGGTCCATTATGTTCATACTCTAACTCCAATCCTTGATCATTTAACGCAGATTCGAATTCTTGTCTTCTCTCAGCGTGATTAACATTGTTACCAGTATCCATGTATACTAATACAAAATCTATTGGTTTATCACATTGATCTAAATTTTCAGTAGAACTTGAAATTTCCATAGGTATTGGTACTTGTTGTTGCTCCAGAGAAAGCCATTGTTTCGTTACATTTAATGCATTGTTGGTGGTAGAATAATTATTACTAGCTTGATTTAGTTCCATTTTAATATTCTATGACATAATAAAATAAAAATTAGATTATTATGTAAAATCCTACTATTTTTTTCTAACTCACATTTAAGCAATATTACTGAAGCCACTAACATTATTGTTTCAATCAACAGAAAAAATTTCAACTGATTAATTTATCAGTCTTTCACGTTTCTTGGAATTAAATTGTTTGACATTTTCTGAAAATAACTAGAAATAAAAGTCGAACAATGACAATTTTGCCTAAAGCGTTGTTGAACAATTACTGTGCATTAACACAAAAATGTCAAATGAATCATTGCTTAAAAATAAAATTATTAATGATTACTTATAGAAACTTCAATTGTAGAGTAGATGAAGTTTGTATTAATAACTACCATTTATCATTTTTTACAAGATATTTTGTGTAGATAAAAAAAACAAACAATGCAAATTTACAGCTTCGAGATATGGTAGTAAGCTTATTATTGATAATAAATACAAAAGCAACAGGTAACACGTGATAAAAATATATAACCTTACTTGTCATTTAAAGTTTCTCAGTTAATTTAATATATAAGTATAACACATTATTAATTTCATAACACTTTCTCACTATAAAAAATAAAAAAATTTTTTATGCATTAAAAATATTACATTTTTTTACTCCAAATTTTGATGTTTTTTTATTTTCTATTCTCTAATGTTATCATATCCTCAAAAGGGAAAGATGAAAGCAGAGAAGAAAGACTATAGCTACACTGACAGAAATTTTTTCCGGTGGCGAATTATAGAATTTACTTGTCCCCAGTATAAAAGTGATAGGTAAAAAAGTTTCGGAAGGCAGGTAAAGAAAGTACCTGGAATCAGTAAAACTTCGTTTTAAAATGAATAAAAAAAATACTGAGTCTAAATACAGAATATACCACTCCTGAGTAGACTACAAGCGGTTGAAGAAGTAATAAGTATACAAGTTTTATGAAAATAAAGTACTTGTATTTAAGTAGTCTTTCTACTTGGAATCAGTATAATGTGAGCCAATGTATTTTGTTTATCTCAAGTAGGTAGATAATAGAAGAAGATTACAAAGTTTACTTCAGTTGATAATATAGTTTTCTTACACTGAGGATCTTCCTTACTTACCACAAGTGTATTTTATACGGAGATCCCGTATAAAGCGTACTTATGCTAAGTATAATGCTGTTTTACACTTTAAACACCATGTTCTCACATTATGAATCCTTTTTTATTAATAAAAAAATACTTGTTACTTGATTCAAGTATATCAATTCTTCACTGCAAGTATATTATATACTTAAATTAAGTATACGAAGTACTCATGCTAAAATTTTTTTCTTATTAAATTTAAAAATTTCAAAATATAAATAATCATATTAATAATAAAAAAGTTACTGTTATACCCATTGGTATTGGTCAATTTAAATTATTGACCATTACTGATGAAGTAATTTAATGATTAAATATTCAGTAATTAATAAATAGATGAAAAGTAATCTTATAATAATTACAACAATTACTGTTGTACTTTTAAATACGTGGAGCTGCTACACTTACACTGGGCAGCAGCTCGAGATATTGAAATATGCAACAATATTTGTTGCACTTATGAAAAAATTATGATTATCTCTATGAATTAATGATTATACAATCATTCATTTATTTATCATCATCAAAGGTATTATATCGAATAATTTATTTCTGAGCGCTAAGTTGGAAAATAAACACTCTACAGGCATAGTCTAACTGGAGCAACTTGGAGTTTTTGAAAGCACAACACCAATTTGTTGTTATTATCATTCAATTATGATTCTTTCTCTAAATTAATCAATGAACATTAAATAATTTTATTAGGATTATTAAAGATTTAACATTAAGCCATTTATAGCTGAACGCTGGATTGAAAGATAAACTCCTAAAGCTCCTAACAAGTCTTACTGCAGCAGCTTGAGGCATTGAAATGTACCACAATAATCGTTCCAATCATTGTAAAATTTCGATTCATTTTTAGAATTAATTAATAGACATGCAATTAATTATTAATTATTATTAAAGATTCTATAATCAATCATTTATCTCTGAGCGCTATATTACGAGTTAGACTTTTAACAGGCCCAGTGTAAGTGTAGCAGCTCCACGTATTTAAAAGTACAACAGTAATTGTTGTAATTATTATAAGATTACTTTTCATCTATTTATTAATTACTGAATATTTAATCATTAAATTACTTCATCAGTAATGGTCAATAATTTAAATTGACCAATACCAATGGGTATAACAGTAACTTTTTTATTATTAATATGATTATTTATATTTTGAAATTTTTAAATTTAATAAGAAAAAAATTTTAGCATGAGTACTTCGTATACTTAATTTAAGTATATAATATACTTGCAGTGAAGAATTGATATACTTGAATCAAGTAACAAGTATTTTTTTATTAATAAAAAAGGATTCATAATGTGAGAACATGGTGTTTAAAGTGTAAAACAGCATTATACTTAGCATAAGTACGCTTTATACGGGATCTCCGTATAAAATACACTTGTGGTAAGTAAGGAAGATCCTCAGTGTAAGAAAACTATATTATCAACTGAAGTAAACTTTGTAATCTTCTTTTATTATCTACCTACTTGAGATAAGCAAAATATTTACAAAAATGCAGTAATCGCTATTCTTGGTATAAATTAATATTATATTAGGATTGAGTGATGGAAAATTTAAAATCAAGTTAATGTTATTATGATTGTACAGTACACTTTAAACTTCATTTTGATATAAAATGTACTTGCATCAAAAAATAATTATACTCAAATTGAGTATATTTTGTGTTTGCCGCTAGTATACTTTCTAGCTATCACATTTTTTCTGTCAGTGTAACAGGTTAATCGTTCGAAAAATGATAATTTTCAGGGATGCACTACAAAAAGAAAGCCTTAGGGCACCAAGAAATTCACAAATTTTAGAATAATCTGTTCCGAGCAAGACAGAGCACAAATATACCTATCTATCTCCGTCTTATTTTTCAGAGAAGACTGCGAGTTCAAACAGTGACGAAAAGAACAACATGTATTACTTGTACACACACATATACAAATTACTCGCCAAAATGCAGGGGGCACCATCAGTTCTGGATACAGATTGAGCATTTTTTCAATATGGATGACTGAGGTCATCTGCGAGCATAATGCTGTCACCTATTGGAATTTTTTCAAACTAATTACCGGAGAAAATCATCTGGAATACAATATTTCTAATTATTTCTAAATTATTTAATTTTATGCTATAAATTGATTTCTTTGATATTCAGATAGGTAGCAAGGACTGACGCACACACGAATTTTAGGCGAAAATCGTATAAAAATAGAATAATTAGTGATTTTTCATCTGAATGATGTGGCCGCCATCTTGGAATTTAAGCGCGGTAAGTCAATTCATAATTTGTTCATTATTCTTTCTAATTTTTTTAATAAAAATATTCACTACATACAAAAAATTGTTGTTTACGTCAGTCCGGCATTAATTTATCTATAATTTGGTACTTAATTTTATAGAAATAATAGTAAATTGGCGAAGAAATTAGAAATATCTCGATCCCATGTATTTGGATAGGGGGAATCAGTCGCCTCTGAACTTTCCAAATTAATTTAGATGTAGAATCTCTGTTTGAAGAAAAACTACTTCATCGATAATTGCTCGGATGGTATCAAAGTTTTTGATGGACCAGGCATTAATGACGCCGAGTGTACTACAAAAGTTAAAAAAAAATATATCTGAATTATGGCTGAGAATACTTCTTTACGAAGGTCTAATCGATTTCAATCTCATTATTCAACAGAATGTGATAATATATCTTCCCGTTTAAGAAACAAGAAAGGTATTAAATGAAGTTGTTGACTACAAAAATAATTCTTACAACTTAATAACCTCCAAATTAATATCCATAATCTTGATTATGTATTCAAACGATGAAAAAAACATTGGTTGTTATTTAGCTGATGATAAAACATTCACATGTAATATCCAAAATTTAGAGTAATTAAAATTTATGAAAAAAATGTTATTTATTAATGAATTCCGTTGTTTAAGCTGAATCAGGTGAAACACCATCAACTCCGAGTACAAAAAAAGGATCAAATCAATCAACAAAATCAACTCTTCATGGAAAATCACCGAGTCCAAAGAAGTCTGCAAGTAATTAAATAAGTCCTACACTGTTTTCAATATTTATTATAGGATTTCTGTAACTTGATCATTGTGTTAATTTTAGCAGTTGAAACTCCAAATCGAAGAGGCAGATGGAAAACATCTCAAGAACCAAAATCCGATGGAGAATCATCATGTTATGAATGCATGTCTTCAAAAAGTAATAATAGTAAGTTAATATGGATTACAGTATATTGTAATTTTACTAACTTTTATTATATCAGTTTGTTTTAATATGTAGACTTTTATGTTTGAGGTAGCTGATTTCAATGGATAACTTAACAGATAGTTCTTAAATAAAATTACACTAATTTAAATTAAAATTATAAATATTTTCTTGAAAATCGTAGCAAATTGTTTCCATAGGACACATCAGAAATCGAGCGCCCTAATTTAAAATCGTATTTTTGTTTCTAGCATTGAAAATGCCCAACAAGAGACAGTCTAAAAAAGTTATTAAAGAATGGCAAAATAATGAAAACCAAACATTTCTCAATTTCGAAGTAGATCTTGAAAGAGAGTTACCAAGCATAGAAGAAAAAATTCAAAAACCTACTACATTATTTGATAACGAAGATGTTAGTGGTAATTGTATGTATGGATTTCCAACTTTAGCAAAAAAGAATGCTATGACAGAGAAAGCTTTATTATCACGAACTTCAAATATTCCACGAGTAATGCTTGAAAAAATTGATGATAAATCAATTAATGATTCTTTGTCTCCCAGTCAAAAATTTACTGCAGCAAAAAGTACACGATCAGCTAGAAAGCGACCGGGTCATTTTTCGAGTGAAAGCGAATCTGTGTCAGAAGGTAATGAATTTGAGCCTTCAAGTGAAAGCGATACTTGCACAGAAGAAGAAAATATAAATTCAGATGTCGAAAATAAATATGAAGGAAATATAACACCCAAAAAGAAGGTCAAAAGTGCTTCTAAGAAAGTACATGTTCCGATTACACCATGTAGGAGAGGCAGGTCTAAGAATAAAATTACTTATGAAGATTATGTAAGTAAACTTGAGTTATACACCTATTTTAACACAATGAAATGTCTTAATTAGTAATTTTATAAGGTCAATTTTTTTAATCTATTAAAATTTTCAACAATAATCGTATTACCATCAAATGTCAATTATATGCAATGATTGCACAAAAATTATTGGTTTGGTAATGACAAAGAATTCTCGTAAGTTATGTGGTTTGTACTTATCTCTTACTCAATTTCATAAGTACTATTAAGAAAAAGGTTAATGATAAAAATTGCTAATTAAGACAAGGATATTGTTTGATACGTTTTATTTCATTTCTTTATTTAATCGATTAAATAATTTAACGATGTTTAAAGCATTTACAATCAGAGGAGTATTTTCAAACCCAAGGAGAAAAAATTTTAACTTCTGACCATACTCTTAATAAATTAAAAAATCGTCATTTAGATGAAGGAAAGTTACAAGAATTATTAAAAAATCAAACCAGTCTTTCAGAGTCACATAAACAGGGTATTTATAAATTAAATGAAAACCACAAATCGATGTTTCCTATGTGGTATCAGATATTAGAGTAAGTTAACTTTTTCAAATTTAAATATTATTATTTAAATACAATTTTTTAATTTCTGTAAATGATATTTTCAGAGAAGGATATAGCTTATTACTCTATGGACTTGGATCTAAGAGAAATTTAATTAATGATTTTCATAAAGAAGTTATATCAGATTATCCCACATTAATAGTAAATGGTTTTTTTCCAAGTTTGACTATCAAAGATATCTTAGATGGCATCATCACTGAATTAATAGAGACTGAGTGTCTAGCCAATCCTAGTGAATGCATTAATATAATTGAAGAAACTATGGCTGCAAATCCGGAGAATCGTCTTTATGTACTTATCCACAATATCGATGGTCAAATGTTACGTTCAACTAAAGCTCAAGATGTTCTTTCACGTTTGGCTGCAATTGAAAATGTTCATCTTGTTACATCAATAGATCATATTAATGCTCCTTTAATCTTTGATAATGTCAGAAGAGCTAGATATAATTTTTATTGGTTGGATACAACAACATTATTGCCATATGAAGCAGAAACTTCATATGAAAGTTCACTTCTTGTTAATCAGAGTGGCGCACTCGCCCTCTCATCATTAAGCAATGTTTTTGCATCTTTAACAACAAATGCTAAGGCAATTTACATCATTCTCGTTAAGTATCAACTTGAACATGGAAAAAAGAGTACTTATTCAGGAATGGCATTCAAAGATTTATATCAAAGTGCACGAGAAGACTTCTTAGTGGTTTCAGATGCAGCATTACGATCACATCTAACTGAATTCCTCGATCATAAACTTGTGAGGATAAAAAGAAATATTGATGGTGTCGAATATTTAGACATTCCTCTAGACAATGCCTTGTTACAAAAATTTATTGATGATCAATCAGCTGAATAATAATAGGAACTGAATAATTTGTTTTTTATATCATATATAAATAAAAATATTTAATACTTTTCTATCTGAAAATTGATAAATAAAAATAAATATTTTTAATTCAAACTCCATCATGTAATAGATAATTTTATTTAAAAGGACAGAACTTTTTATGATTTTAGTAATTTCGAAAAAGTATTAAGCAAGCTGTGTTGAAATCTAAAAATATTAGAACAATTTTGAAATCTGTAAATTGAAAGGAATGTACTCATTATGATTTAAACTTTTAAGTTTTAGACCTTACTGAATTATTTTTTAAATTGTCTGCCATTTTTTTCTTGCAACCACTCTCTCACAACTTAACTTTTTAGACATACTAAACTTGAAAATGCTCAAAAAATAGTTGAATAATATTATTCACAATGTTTTTAATTTGTTAATATTTTCAAACATATTTATTTATTAGTCACTTTCTTTAACATATCAAGCTTGAAATGTAAGTGAATTCATAATTCCCGCTTTAGATTGTTGAGAAGTGTAGGAAACTTAAAAAGTAAAAGTATACAACAACAATTGGCAACAATGCTCTGTATGCTGAGATATTCGGGCAGATGTTGCGCACACAATGACCGGGTCTTTGTGTTTCATAAAAAAAAAAACGGTGAAATGTCAGAGATAATTCATGTCAGGTACTTACGATAATTGTCCGAATTCTAGTTTAACTCAGGAATATCTAAAATTGAATATATTCATTTGTCTGGTAAGAAAGTTTTAATAAAAAAAGCTCAATTGTTCGATATTCCAACCTATAAATTTGTCATTCAATTTTATTCAATTACAATTATTGAAGATATAAAAACCTTGAAGTTAATGTAAATGAATTTTCAGATAATGATTTTGAATCTGTCTCATAATACAACTTTAACAATTGATAAGTCCGTTAATGAAAGTTGTCACTTGGAGAAGAAAATTTATTCATATGATTTCTAACCTACCTTTTTTTGTCAAATAAGCTTAAGTGTTATTGAATAGGATACCTTTATTTACTTAAACTATTCGATTATATTATAACTTCCTTTGACTGAATGACAATATTTACATTCATTTTGTTGTAACAAAACATAAATTTACTATTATTACACATTATTGTTTTCATTAATCAACTGAGTTCCATACAAAAATATTATTTGCATTCATTTCTAGATAACAACGTACTTTATATATTTTATTAAGTTTTTATCAATAATAAATAAGATATTTTACACAATTAAAGTTTATTGTGCATTGAAACTATTTCAATAAGAGTTCAATACCCGTTAAGTATTCTGTTTAATGTTTAATGATAATACTATAATGTTTTAAGTCTCTTTTTTCTATTGCTCATTTGCTCTTATTCATCACTCATTAATCAGAATTCTATTTAATGTTTTATACGTAGTTCTGACTAAATAATTTTTTCATGCTCACTTGCTCAACAATAGTTAAATAATTACAAAATGATAGAATTCATTCACGCGTATGTTATCTTGAAGCTTAGCTGGACGACGTGACTTCTAAAGAAGGTCGTTCTCGAAATAGAGCACACGTCACGTTCTTACACCTACAAATCATAATGTTTTGAGATTTCAAGTATTGATGATAATTACTTTGTTATGTTTGTTGCAGAAAAACTCGTCCATTGAGGATTTTCATAATAATAAAAATATTAGCTGTTTATGTTCCGGTAAGTTTAAAATATCTTTTATTATTAAATTATTAAGTTAAAATAGAATAATGATAACGATTATAATATTTTATAAGTCTAAATTATTTTCATTGTACAAAGAACGCGAAATTTGTCATTGGACACGTTCTTAAACAACTAATAGGTAATGATGAAATCTGGAATTCCTTATTTTATGCAATAATCTTGTTCTTAAAAATATATTTCAATATCGAAAGAATCGTATTGTTATTAAAAGAAAAACTGAAACTTGTTTTTGAATTCATTATGAGGAAGTTCATCACATAAGCGAGTTTTATCGCTGATTGTACGTATTATTTATAATTTCCTTTTTTACTTGAAATAGGAAATAATCGCAGAAGTTTCAAGAAAACTTTACAATTATCATCATTATGTATTTCTTTTAATTATTTATTTTAAAAATTTTTACATTTATATAATGGATTTGTTCAGGACAAAAGCAATATTTCGAGATATTTTTAATCAGAATAACTAAAATTTTTAAATGATAGCAAACTTAGAGAAATATTACACAACCAATTTCATCTCTAAGATGTGAAGTTTGTACCTGTATAATGTAATATTCTATAATATCATTAGTTTGTGTTGGGCTTCAAAGAAACTCATATAATTTCTTGAAACTTTGAACAGATAGCTAAGCTGGAACTTCTATATTTTTAATCACATCGTTGAAGATAAAATGTTAAGTATTTTGTAGTTTCAATAGAAATAATCGAAGTTTCTAACACAAGATTTTTATGAAAAGTTTTTAAATTATTCATTCATCATTATTCTAAACTAAATCATTAGAAAAAAAATATTTCGAATGATTCAACTTTTATCTTAAGAATCAAATTAAAAACAATCTAAAAATATTTAAACACAATTGTTTGAATAGAAAGTATCTTTAAATAATCAATGGTTTAAGAAAAACATATTTCTGGAAAACAAAATATAGTGATGAGAATATTGAAAGTAAATGTTCCTTAAAAGAGTAAGAGACAAAAGTTCGAGTTAAAATAAGAATCGCTGCATTTTTTTTTTCAGAGTATTGATTTTAAAAAAAAGATGATTTCACTGAATTTATTTTTGTTTTTAAAAATAATACTTTGGTTATAGTTATATATCATCAGTTATGAAACAGAAAATTATACGAGAATCTGAGAATATCATTTCTTAATAAATCGAAAAAAGCGTACATCCAACGTCAGTCATTACAAGGTCGTCCAAACTAAACATGTAACGTAATAATAATAAGAATCATCATAATTACGTAACGATTCGTGCAAATTGAGTACTGAATAATTAAAAGTAGGCAACAAGTTTTTTAAGAACGATTAAGTTGATATAAAAATATCCATTAATTTTTTCAAGTTCATCAAATATTGATTTTATTTACAGATTTTTTTACATTACAACACTTCTGGGTATCTATTGATTATATTAATACTTGAACATTTGGTATTACCAGAACTTTTGCATAATATAAAATATTTAAATTTTATATACTTTTCCAAATTTTATACGGATACTCCAGTAATAGTATATTATTATGATCTATGTTATCAGCCTCGACAGATATAATTATTAACCCAATAACTCATAACAGCAGTTGATAGCACCAATATATTCATTGATTAGATTATGTTCAGTCCAGTTATTTGTATGGCATGATGAGTAAAAGTTTTCTTTCTCTTTCGTATGTGACAAATATATTTTCAGATTGTTATCTTAATTCCTGTTAATAATTTATCTGTTTATAATGTATTATTCTCATTTTTATTTCATTCATTAAATTTCTATCGAAAGTATTAATAACTAATTTTCTAATAAGTCTTACAGAAAATATTATTTCGTCTATGTGAAAACTACTTGAAATCATTGAACTTTAAATTGTAGTTTTTCAAATACATATTTAAATGCAAACAAGTAATTCTAATCTAATTAGCTAATATTAAAAAAATTTTAGGCTCATTTAAATCAGTATATTAAAAGAATAAATATCAACGTCTATAAAGTATTCCATTGATTAGTTGCAATTAATTATTAAATTAATTGAAAAAATATGTATTTTGATCATTCAATAATATTAATAATTCGAGAGCTTTGTTTCAAATTATTTACATTATGATTGAATCAAACTAATAAAAAAATATCAAGTAAAATATGTTGATCATAAAAATAAATTTTCCTTCGGTATATTTATTGTCATATTAGATAAATAAATTTTTAGAGTTGATATTTTTTTCAGTTTTATTAGCTTCAATAGTTTAGCAAAAAAACAAATGATCTCAAAATAAAAAGTAATTAGATAAAACTAGGAAAAGTCGAGTGAGTGGTTATGAAGTTTATTTTGAGTGTTGGTATTTTTTTAAATGTATTATTTAGATATTTTTGTATTATCGATTATTGAAGAAGGTGAATGTATATTTATTTTTTAATCATAATAATAATATTTCGATATGAATTAAAACGTAGGAAATGACATAAATAAAAATATCTTTGCTTAATGGAAAATGAACTAGTGAAATCGGTATGTCTTGACAAAAGTGAAATCTGCTTGACTTTAAGGGAACTCTCTTTTCTCGTGTAAAAGAAAGAAAAGAGAGGGAGGAAGAGAATGATTTGACATATCGATGAAAGTGTGTATGATTTGAAATGAGATCTCATATGTGATGAAAAATGGAGAAAGGGAAAAAAGGAAAAGAGAAGTTTTGGTCCAATCGAGGTTCCCCGGATATGTCTTCGTTCATGAAATATACATTGTATATCTGGGTCCTCTAAAATGTGTTACAAGAACGTTTGCCCCGGTCGAGTGATACAGCGCGCGAGCGCACACATTCGCTTGAAAGTAAGACAAGGATTCGAGAGAGCGGCAGCTCATTCATTCCTCTACTTCATGTGTTATTATATTCCGAGCAAGTCTAGGCTTATGATATTACTATTTACTTTTTGAAATATTACATGAAGGTACCAACTTCTATGAGTATTAACAACTGCTTGAAATTGAAAAGAAGTTAGACTAGTCAATGTTCATGGACTCAATTTTATTCATATTTCTTTCCATTTCAACAATTGAGCTAGTCCAATGAAAAGTTTTATTATTCGAAGCACTCATGTCTTATTAATCTATTGAAAAAATTCATACTTGTTTCATCTATAAGAAATTTCTTAAAATTTTTTTTGATTCAATTTATTAAATATTTGTGATAAAAAGTTCACGAATCTAGGGGAAGTGAGAAAGAGATCTCTTAACAAATATCAAGATATGACATTCTTTCAAATGGGTTGTTAGATCCCAACTTGAAAAATTAATTAGTAATATTGTAGATATTTAATCTCCATGTGTTTTGAGAATTGTAGAACCTTCT